TTAGCTAAGGAAAAAGCAATCTTTCATAATGTGCCTCTGCTAATTAAATTTATGGCATCTTCACTTTCTAGTTAAACAGAATCTCTGTAAATATGACGCACTAAGATGCAGAACTCTTTTTCTTAGCAGACGTTTATCATACTTATTACTTTATCAATGATATGGTATTTTTATTGTCAAGAAGTGTCACATTTATTACTGTTGTAATGTTTTTTCTAACATGTTTGGTTTTGAACTTCCAGAAGGTTCCAAGTCAAAAGAGGCACTTAGGTTCATTTTGCTCTTTTGACAGGTGTAGCATATTGGCTGGAATATTTTGAAAATTTCTAGTGAATTGAATTCTGCTGTGTGTTGTTGTAGCTTGTTCCAACCCTTTGTAGCGCCTTGTGTATAAAAAGCATTTGTAGATACATTTGTTTTATAGTTTGGTTTTTATGTAGTCGCTGAGTTTGAAGCTCATAAGTGTCTCGTGCTGCTACCCCATAGTGTGTGCGTTACCTTTCAGTCTGGGAATAATTCTGATTTTTTTTTTATTTCCACCGCAGAACCAGGTTTTTCAGCATAATGTGGCCAAAGCTATACACAAGCTTTCAAGTATTCGTGTTGTCTAGAAGTGGACATGAATCAATATAAACACTTTTCATCAATTGTCTTTCCTCACAATTCAGTACTTCTTATTTGATAATTGTGTAATCTTATTAGCTGCATTTGATATCTTAATGTATTACTTTAATTTTGTTCAGGGACTCCTTTCCAGTTTATTAGTCTTGTGATTAATTCCTGCTCATCGTCATTTTTGTTTGCAGCACACTTTAAGAGCATTTCTTCATGCAAACATTTGTACTTTATCCTACTGATAAATGATAACCAACCACCTCCTCATCTGTAACATTTTCAAGACTTTTTTATGCCTCAGCATTTCTAAAATATTTTTTTTCCTGGGTTAATACTGAAAATTGCCTTCTTAGTGATACACAGAAACCATTAATCACTGGCATTTATAAATTATAGATACCTATGTAACATTTTTTTGCTTCAGGCATGTTGTTTCCTAAATTGTGTCTTGTAAATCCCATGATTCTGTCCTCTGGGTGTTGTATTAGTTTTATATGAAACTAGAAAGTGTGAGAAATGACCACGTAAGAAAAGTTATGGTGTTTTAGTAGATTTTTTTTCTCTACTCCTGCAAAAATGTTGTAAAAAATTATACTTGTCAATTGTTTAATGCTTTCTTCACTAGTAATGCAGTGGAAAATAATTACTTTTTTCAAACTATGAAGGTTTATGTACAGTATTCTCTCATGTTCATAATTCCCTACTACAGAATTATTTACTTGCATGCCTTCTGTGTTTTATGATTGTATAAATGTAACAAATTACCTAATATTTCTGAACATTATTTAACACCAATCTTTGCCTTTACTCCTTACTGGTACACCTTCCTATCTTAGGAAACTAGTAGAGATTATGATTAAGGATTAATATTTGTGGTAACTCCCTACACAAGTTTTAGAATATCATCTGCAATATTTAAATATTTTTTCCTTATTAAAGAAATGAAGCAGAGCAAAACCATCCACATAGTTCAGCCTTTTCCACAGGGGTGAATGGTAGAATTAGGAGAATTAGAACATTTTTTAACACAAAATGGTGCAAAAAACATTTAATATAAGAACACCACATATCTGAGTTTGAGAAGAGCACTGAATTCACAAACTAACTGTTTAGGCTGCTTCTATGTATTAACATACTGTATTGCTAATTAACCGCTAGCCAGTATTTCAGCACATCTGAAAGCAGAAACTGTTCGCTTGGTGTGGCTTGAGTTCCATTTATACAAGAAACGCCCTCTAACATAATAAATAGTAGTAGTAGTTTGATGAAAAAATACACATGCGACAGAGGAAGACCATTCACAATGACAGATCAAGATGTTATAATTGTTTTATTTCCTGTATATCTTTTTTTATAATTGAATTTTTTTGTTAACACTTGACTCCAGTTCTGCCTGGACATTTCTTTCACACCCAAAGAGTAATGAGTACTTTTTCTTCATTGTCTACTCTCCTGCTCGATTATTCTTATCTGCTGTTCATGGTGTGTGTCTTGTGTATCACATGGTCACCTCAACAGGCTTAAGTCCCTCATCAGCCAGAACGGATCTTCAGGATGTGAGATAATAACAATAGTAAAAATCAATGTACAGTTTTGTAAACCAATTGACAAATTTGTCCACATTAGATCTAAAGATTTCAGTTATCCTGGAGCTTGGGGATCAATATTAGCCTTTAAAATAATAACATTAATAAGTCTAGGAATTTTTTCAGATGCCTAACATGGTAATGTCTTTAAGCATGGATTGATTAATCAGTCTGCTTTATCTAATGTATGCTTTATCATAGTTTCTAAAAAGCTTTAACTTTATAAATGGTGTTCGGTGTTATGGGTATATGTTTTGTCACCTGGTGTCTCATTAAACTAACCCTTGACCTATTCTTTTAACTAAGAGAAATTACTTAAGTTTTTAGTTTGGGTGCAAAAGCTGCTGATTGCCTTTTACAAGAATGTATGTTATAAAATAAATGCCCAAAACACACCACACTTCTTATAAAGTACATTAATTTTTTTCCTGTGTGTTGCTAATGATAAAATGTGATGTAAATGAAAAAAATAACCTCTTTAAGGAATCGCTTATGTACTTATTCTTGTAAAATACCTTAACGATGCAACATAAGTGGAGAGTAGAAATTAATATCTTTTAATTTACTGTATCTTTATCGATAGCAAAGATGGTGTAAAAATTATTGATTTTGGTGGTGTTCTATTTTTCTTTAAAAATCGGTTTTATTCATTTATCTTTCAAATCCTTATGACTTTTATCTTTCTGTCTGACTGGCTCAGATGTTCTGCCATAGTGATTCCCTTTAGAAATCCATAAACACGCACCACTGACTTCTGCAAGACTTTCAGAAAGTAACAGCTTCTGGCTACATGTTTGTTTACCACCTCCATTTATATTAAAAATAGTACATGCTTTTAGGATGTTATAAGTGCTTTGTAAATCCCAACTGGAATAATTTAGTGTACTGTATTCAGCAACACACAAAATACACTATACAGAGACTATCCATAAAGTAGGAACAACATCTTGAAAAGGAATTTCAGTTAACTAGATGATTTTTGGAAACTGCTATGAAACTTTAATGAGGTGTTTTAGTTTAGAGAGAAAATGTTATTGTAAGATAATTAATTAATGCAATCCCATGAAAGCTATCATACAGTAGAACATAAAGACTGAATGGCTTTTTTTCATTTGTGACCTATGTTGTCCATTTGGTAGTTAGTAGCCTATTGATCTGAGGAACCCAACAAGTTATATATTAAAGGAAGCCCAAATATTGCAAGTATTGTGTTATAACGGTTAACCAAAATGTATTTCAGTGCTTAATCTGAAGTTTTCTCAATGCGCAAAGTTTCCTTATACTAGCAGGAATTGTGACAGATTGAGCAGTCAGTCTTAACTTGCACCACACAGGATGCCGCGTGAACTGTCTTAGGGTTCATGTGTATACACTGAACATGTATCATGAAACAGTGTTTACCCCCCTCCCACCAAATAAATAATAGATATGAAAGGGTCGTTTTTTTCATGTCCTTTTTTTTTAAAGTCATTTCCAAAATTGAGCGGCAATCCCATTCATTTCCGACACCACTGTGGCATGGCAGACAGGTTGAAAAAACTGCTGAACCACTATACGTGTAAAGACAGGGCAGAATATCTGAATATCTGCCTGCCACTTCAAGGGACTTAATAGGAGTGCAATAGGAGTGGGTTCAGGCTCTTGCTTCTTCCATTCATCCCCAACGGCAGGTTGCCTATGAAGTCTGCTCCCATAAACGGCCTTCATGGTCTTCGCCCATGTTGCAAGCTTTCTGGTGGTTGGGTGAAAGCTTTTCTTACTGATGAGTACATCATGCTTGTTGGGAAGAATATTAAACCAGCTGTCTGTTTAACCCGAATGGAATTGCAACTCAATTGAGAGTCCCTACAGAATGTACAGATCGAGCTGATGGACCTGCCATTGTTTTTGATTTACCCAATTAATGTGCAAACCGTTATCACTTTGGTAATGAATATATATATTTTTAAATTATCTGTGCACTTAAATAATATTATGTTCTGTGTATTAAAGTAATGAAGTAATGCATATAAAGCAGAAGGCACAGCTTTTTAAGAGCATTAGAAATGTTAATGAGGAGATGATTCATCTCTGCTTGTTAGGCTATTCTCAAGTGTTTTTCAAAGATCCGCATCAACATTTGACAGATTGTTGTATATAACCTCTGGGTAAAGATTTTTATCTTGTATAAAATCCTGAAAGTTCTTGTGCTTAATTACCATGAAGACCGTGATGCCCTGAATGTTTTTGGGTAACAATTTACATCAAGCTGATTTATGTTCTTTTCACATGTGAAGTATGTTTCAGAACTCTTATAGTAGTTTTTTATGGACCCTTTTCAGTCATTTTTATAATATCAGAACAACTGCACAATTGCATGCTGATAATGCATTTTATTTGCCTTTGCTTAGGCAAAGCATATTTTTCTTATTTAAATCTGCAACATCACCAATCCCCAATGGCACACCACTTACAAATTAATTTAAGTTTTATGCGTTTCAGGTGTATTTAAAAAGAAGCGGTTGTAGTGTTGGACATCAATGGCATTTGACTACAGCAGATATCTAACTCTAGGAAGATGTCATGCCTTTTTTGTATATGCTTTTATTGTATGTCTAATTGTTTTCATGTACAGTAGCTTGGGAGGGCAGTCATTAAATTTGTTTTACAGCCTCAAACTTTCATTTTCTCCTCTGAAGCTGTTTTTCTATCTAACCTCTGTAGTAGACCTTCACCTTGTTCTTAAATCTATCCTCCTGCCAGTGCCGTAAAAGAGCTCCTCACTCACAAATAAAAAAAATCCTCCTTTTTATCTTCTAGGTTGTAGAAATCACAATAAAAGTGAGCCCCATGTTGGGTGCCCATATGTTCCAGCCCCTGTTGCCTTCAGTATTCCGTGGCATCATAGATGGAGAGGTAAGGCCATGTGTAAGAAGCTAATCAGGAACAGGTGAAGTTTTATTCCATGCTGAAAGGAAAAGAAAAGAGACACAACGTTTCAGCTATGGAGCGTTCTTCAGGGACTTTCTTCACCTGAAGAAGGCTCCACAACCGACCTGTTGTGTCTCTTTTCTTTTCCTTTCAACATGGAATAAAACTTCACCTGTTCATTTGCAGCCTGTGCACACCGACGCAGCTACCTACATGAACCTATGTCCTAATCAGCTATCTTTTATATGAGCTTTGCAGAATGTGGAAAATTATTGTTCAAATGTTCAAAATCTACTTGGTTTTACCAAGTTTAGCTTCAAAAGTTATTCGCTGAAGTTAAAGTCAAGACAAACTGAACTTGCCTGGGTGTCTGCTTCTTAATTGTTTTCAACACTCAGTACCTGAGAAATACTCATCTCATTTGATAAATCAGTCTGTTTTACATATAACACAAGTTATTTTATCTGTGCATCCAAAAGTATGTGTACTGTAATTAATGATTTATCTTATTATTTGCTCTGTGTTAGCTCTATAATAAACTTTCGTTTGCAGAGGTATCCTGTTGTAATGTCTACCTACCTGGGTGTGATGGGGAGAGTACTTCTACAGAATTCAAACTTTTTTTCTTCACTGCTCTCACAAATGGCAGCAGAGTTCAACCAGAAGGTAAGGGGTATTTCATCTGGGTAGGTTTGCAATATACTGATATGTTTCTGAATGTTTTTTCAAATGAGATGTTTCTGAATGTTTTTCCCACTGCTTTATAGAAGTACCAAGTAAATAACTTTATTCATTTTTTAAAATTTGTATTGTTGCAGATAGGAGGTAATGAAAATGGTGAATATCAGAGTTTAGTCAATAAGTAAAATAATTATTCATAACCCCCAACTTGTAAGCAGTTTCTCCAGAATATACCCGAGGTGTTGGTTTAATTAGAGGCAAGTCGATTATTTGTGCTTTGGCACTGCTTTGGTGAAAAGAGTAATAATACAGGCACACTTGGTTAAACAAATGTTTAACAAATGACGATACAAATACCCCACTACACAAAACATAAGCATACAACAAACAAGTTACTATATTTGCAGTTTGTTTGGACAAGGTGTTTCAGAGGCCTCATATCCTAATCATGCAGAAAACTTCAGACTGCTACTAGGTATTGAATAATGAGGTCAAAATAAGAGATAAGCTGCCTTCTACGATTAATATACAACCTGCACTTAAAATACAACCTGCACTTAAATGTCTCTTAATCTGCAATCTCAGATGCCACAAAATAAGTGGGAGCCTATCTCCCTATTCTGAAGATGCACCCACAAGCAGGAAAGTCTTGACTGAGGTGTCTTTACTCAGGAAACCAAAGTTCCCTAAAAACACAGGATAGCAAGCAGTCTCTATCAAGGTTCAAATACAGCTCCAATCAGGTTTTGTATGGATAATTATGAATTCCAACTCGTCCTGATCCCTCCCTCTCTTGTGATTTCTTTCATCTGAATGTCATCTTATATTATGTTTATATGGTGTGTTTCTGGACTGCTCAGTGTCAATCATTTACCCACAACTTAATTAACTAGGTAAACCAAGGTAAACTTTGCAATTGGTTTTGATCAGGGGACCTCCTACATCTCAGCAAATATCCCCTCTGCTTTGAAGCTGGAAATGTTTACACTGTCAGGTGTCTTACACTTTATTTCAAGTTTCTAGTCATCTATAACTGTAGCAGTATTCGTTGAGTGCCAAGAGGAACAGATACAGTTATTGTGTAGATGGCGCATTTAAGGGTTATTATGAAAACAAGATAATATTAAGTTTGTCCTTAAAAAAGGAACAAAATTATGTTTATATCAACAATTTTTTTCAGTACAGACACTAATTGTGTTAATTCCCAGTATTTCTGGGAAATTAATGGGGCCTTTTTTTTTGCAAAACCAAATGCAAGAATACAATAAAAAAACAAATCAAGAAAAACAAGATAATGTATATTTATAATATATTGGGGAAAAGATGTATGATTAAATTGTATTTGCTAAAATTCCTTTGAGTTATATTTCGTCAAGGTTATGAATACATTTGGGGCAAACTGTAAGAGCACTTACCCATGCCAGTCAGGTAGAAAATAACTGTTTTCTTTATCTTCTGTTTATGTTTCTGTTTGTTGATTTATTTATGATACATTATGACATCGATTTTACATAATTTAATTGTCATTTTAAAACTCAATCTGTTTGTCTTTAAACACATGTAGAATAGTCATAATTAGCTATCACTATGATGTGATACTTAGTAATTATGCAGTAGCTGATGTGTTGATTGCTGAATTGTTCTTGAGAACTAGATTTTTCTGGAGTGGCTTAATTATAAACTTGAGGTTTCAGGCTAAAAACCAGGTGGATTAGGTCGCCTGTATATCTCACAAGGTCTTCCTCATAACTACTGATCATGCATGCACGTTTATGTACAAAATATTTCTAATTGCGGGTCCTCTGGATCTTATTTTTCTAGTGAAAGCTTTTATCAAAAACAGTTAAGCGAGATGTAGATTCTACATTCATTACGAATTAATCACAAATATGATACAGATTGTTTTTGTGTGCTGTAAAATATTATTAACCTTTTCATGAGGATCACTAACAAATGACTACTTTTTTGATGTTTCAACTTAGGTTTTTTGTAGTTTAATATCACTGTGCAGCACACTTAAAACTGGTTTTGCTTTAGTGTTTACAGTGCAATACACTATATGCCATTATTTTCTTTTTCTTCATAAGTTTAATGGTCTTTAGTCCATCCTTCTGTCCTTCTATTTTCCATTACCCACTGAAGCTAAGCAGGTGTGAGCCTGGTCAGTACCTGGATAGGAGACCTCCTGGGAAAAACTAAGGTTGCTGCTGGAAGAGGTGTTAGTGGGGCCAGCAGGGGGCGCTCACCCTGCAGTCCATGTGGGTCCTAATGCCCCAGTATAGTGACGGGGACACTATACTGTAAACAGGCGCCGTCCTTCGGATGAGATGTAAAACCGAGGTCCTGACTCTCTGTGGTCGTTAAAAATCCCAGGACGCTTCTCGAAAAGAGTAGGGTTGTAACCTGGCCAAATTTCCAATTGGCCCTTACCAATCATTGCCTCCTAATAATCCCCCTCTATGAATTGGCTACATTACTCTGCTCTCCTCCCCACTGATTGCTGATTTGTGGTGAGCGTTCTGGCGCACTATGGCTGCCGTCACATCATCCAGGTGGATGCTGCACATTGGTGCTGGTGGAGGGGAGTCCCCATTACCTGTAAAGCACTTTGAGTGGAATGTCCAGAAAAGCACTATATAAGTGTAAGCAATTATTATTATTATTATTATTATTATTATTATTATTATTTTATAAAACCTTCCAGTTCAGTGTTTTGAAGGAGCCAGAGTCAGCTGTCATTGCAGGACACAAACATACTTACATGCTATGCAGATAGCACCCCAGGTCTAAAGCTGAACCCAGGGCCTCGGCGCTGCAAGGGGTGACTGTGAGGTGACATGCCACCATGTCTGCCCATGGTCTTTAATAAGAACTTTAATATATTTTGTATTTTACATCATTAATGGTGATGTGCTCCTGAGTATGTTTTCGGGTGTATATTCAGTAGGCTACAATCATCAGATGAACGAAATAATAATAAGAATAAGGACCTCACCGAGATCTTATTCCAGAACATTATATATCACAAAAAAACATTTTGCTTCTAGGTTGAAAACCCTTTTCAATTATTGTCTGAAATGTTTTCAGCAAGCTTTATGCTGATTCATATTTAATATTGTAGGACTGATCAGCGTGCCTTACATATGAAAAAGAAAGATGGCAACACAATATCTTCACTCTTACTCTTGTACTTCTAAATAACTAGTCTTTCTGTTAACTGTGTATATTTTAGGATGAGCCTGTAGCTCAAAGAGTTACATATTAACTTAAGATCATTTGGTTTATTATCCTGAGCATAGTTAATGGCAAATTTCAGTTTATTGCATACAGATCCAAATAATATTGATAATTTCTTTGGTTATTTAACATTTAGTCAGAACAGAACTAAACTAATGTAGGTAACTATATATAATAAATATAACAAAAACTCTCAAAATTGTAGTTATAGTGGAAAAGGAAATGGCTTATGCTGGCTTTCTGTTTTGGGGTATCTCCAACAATGGAGATCATTAAAATAAAAATTGCCATCTTTCAGTTTTTACTCAAGTGTTGTACTATGAGCAGTAGAAATAAAAGTGGTATATTGATTTGTTCTTTTTGTCCACCAGTTTCTTCTGAAGATGTAATAATTAGTTCAGATTTTTTTTCTTAATTTCCTAAGCTGTATTTCAGTTATGAAGAAAGAACGGGGTTGATATAACCTCTTCTAACACCACTTGGCGTGCAGTTGCATATTTAGCCTATATAAAACCAGTATAAAGCAAACAAATAAGAAAAGGCATTATGCTAGGAGCACATACTGTATACAGTATGTCACTTACAGTTCAGTGAAAGAAACCATACAGTATGTTATATTTTGCTCTTACATTTATGGATTGAAGGTACTTTCTGAAAACTGGCTCCAAAAAGCCCTTCTTCCAACATCCATCAAATGGTTAACAACTGAGAAGTATAATTTAGCCTTTATCATTTAACCAGAGCATCCAAGTGGGAACTATGGGGAATTGCATTTAATTAATTAGATATATAAGATTGCATTTTTCATAGGTCCCAAGGTACTTTTCATATAGGTGGACACCTAGTTGATGCACAGAAGCCATTATGTGCCAGTAAGCCTGCTAAAATGCACATTATATAGACAAGAAATTACTTTACCTTTTAACTCAATGAGAAGATTTAGGCAGACTATAGCACAGTCTCCGTTAGCTACTGCCGACCAAATAAGCCTCCTCTCATCTGCAAACTTTCCTTATTTTCTTAATCAAACCGAAGAACATTCTAATGCAATAGCAGCAGCAGTCTGTCTAAAAACACCACTTTATTCAAATCATAAAATGCTATGCAAACAAGGGATAATTAAAAATAAAAAAACAATTCAATATTATTTTACTTAGTACTAGCAGTGACTAGCACAACACTGCAAGTATATTGAGAGCATTTTCCTTCACCTTGAGGCAAGTGTGATTGAATGAATCATATCAATATTTATTACGTTTAACATATTAAATCACTATTATATGACTGTTGCTAATTGTGAGTGTAGTTTGGCATATACTGCATGTTGTACCAAAAATAACAGTGTCTTACTGTCATTAAACTGTAGCGTTTAACAGTATTTTATCATAGTTTGATATTGCTGTGTATATACTACATCAGTTCATAAATCACCATTATCCAATGTCCTGTTCTTGATCTTGTTTATATTTGACTTTAAAAAAGAATACAAAGGCAGTACTCAGTCTCTTTTTAATAATTTAATTATTCTTTAGCTTTCAGCATATTCTGTTTTTTAAATTTTGTGCATGAAATATTTGACTTCTCTATCTTCATAACTGCAACTTTACCTTGAACAGGTAATCAAAAAATAGCAATGAAAATGACAATATAGTGTTATACTGTATATTGTACTCATTGTCCCAGACAGTGATCTGATATTCCATAGGTCTGTTAGTTCTAAGGTCTAAGGTTCTGTACAGTGGTTATTTAATTATAAGAAAACATATCCACCCACCGGAGTCTTCTTTCCTTTTTAAGATGGATCAGCTCCTGGGCAGTTTGATTGAGATGTGGGTGGACCGAATGGACAACATTACACAGCCAGAGAGAAGGAAGCTGTCATCCTTGGCTTTGCTGTCATTACTTCCATCTGACAACAGGTAAACAACACATAATAAGATAGCGTCTATGTAAATATGCCTGCAATAGTCTCAGGGACTCATTCATTCATTAATTTGTTTGAATATATGATGGTAACCTTGGAATTGCAAATTATTCATGCTTGCATTATGCCTGCCAGCAGTGTTTTAGTTGCACCTACAGTCTGCTATTAACTTCTTCATTTGTGAACACACATTTTGTCATCAGGAACTTCAATGTGCAAATGAAGTGTGTTTTATGGTGTTACAGTGTTATACAATGTAAGACGAAAGGCTTTGACAGATACAGGTACCTTAACCCAACACACTAGTAGTAATGGTGTTAAACAGTTACTTAAAGTGAATTGCTGTTTGAATACTTGTCCCTATGATTTTGAAGGTTACAATTTCATAAGTAGCTTTCTGCACACGTATTTTGAAAAAAAGATTGTAATTGCACTGATCATTCATTTTCAATCATATCTGATGCATCTGCTGACAAATAACTGAGCTCTGATCTTGAATGCACATTCAATTGAAATGCATATGTACAAATAAGATTTTCTGTTTCATATTTTAATATCGGGCCTGTATGGATCACATTTTGTTAATCATTTTCTAGGAAAACACAATCTTTCACGTGGTCTTAAAGGAAAATAAATGATGACATGCAAATGCACTTTGAAGATAAAGCTGTCCATAAAAATGACACTGCCAGCAAAATCCAACACACAAAACTGTATTTTGACATTTTTATAAAGAAGCAGAAAAAGACATGTGGCTAACCTGTTTAAAGTGTATTTAATGGTAACCAGCTGTTGTTTTGCCAATCCATTATAGTGAAGATTTCTCTTGTCATATTCTGCAAATTGAATGAGGTAAGAGTCCTTTTGCTTGAAAAGAGATAAGGTATACAAATATAGCACCTTAGTGAGTCCAAGGCGTTTTGAATTGACTTCATGGACGTCACTGCAATGCTGCTCTCTAGTTCCATGATGTTCTGTATGTTTGTACGGTTAAGAAGACTGTCACTGGCTATTAATTAGGCATTACATGCCTGATAATCAGATAGTTCCTATGTTTACATGATCCTACTAGTACTGGTATATTGAACTTCTCTGTGGTTTTGACATACATATACATGATATTATCTGAAAAATGGGCAGCACTTGGAAACTTTAATTAATTGACTTTGTTTGATGTAGCCTACGGTATATCAGTGGTGCAGAAAAAAACATTACTCTATGGTCTAATTACTTCCAGAGGTCTTAGTACTAACAAAAAAAAAAGATTGATATGAAAACAGAGTGTAGAACCTTCCAAACTGTTCAAAACATCCGATCATGTTTACATTCCTAGGTTGATGTGTTGTAGGAAAGGTGTTCACAGAGTTATAAAATTCAAAAGAATTTTCAATTAAAAATGAAAATGTGCTGCATTTAATGTGCACTGGTCTTTTACATTCAGTATGATGCTTTTATCTTAAATTTTAATCATTTAATTTTCTGGGAGAAAGATGTTGTTCTTTGGCCTACTTAGAAATATAAAGATGTCCCATGAAAAAAATGGTTGGTATTTTTTTAATACCAAAAAATGCTTTTGTTTGTATTTTTTAAAGTATCCTTTCATGTCATTCTAATGAAGATGTTGTGCATTATTAAATACAGCAGAAGGAGTGCTTAAAAATGAAAACCTGTGCAAAAATCCTTGAGGAAGAAAATACTTTATTAAATATTTAAAAAGCAATTATTTTATTTCTGGTCAGTTAAATATTTCTTTTTGCCTTTGGCTCTTGGAAAAAGCACAAATAACTGCAAATACACTTGATTAATGAGTGTAACTTTATTTTCCTATGTGTATTTGTCCCCTCAAGGCTACTTTGACTCTTTAGAATTAATGTAATAAATTATATTCATATATTAATACTTGAGGACATCTTGCATTTGCTGTATAGATTAATATGTTCCTGTTTGGCCATGTTCGGACACTGTGTTACTATGAATAATAGTTGAATAATATACTGAATGTTTTTCCAATGCATCCTAACACACATCGCAATGTCAAGCTGAGATAGAAGTTATTTTTGCATAGTGATGGGCATCCAATCATCATCATAGATAGTGAAATTAGAAATTACATCGATTCAAATCTAGAATTCGTTTTCAATTGATTTAAAAAGTGATTGACAGAACAGTACCATTTCTTGTCAGAAAAGCCTTTTCTTTTGTTGACATCACAGGACAAATTGACATCACAAACTTTTAGTCCATTAAAATGAAGGGTTCAATTCAATTCAAAATATCATTTAAAATGTCATAATTATCATGTCCACTCATGTTGTAGGATTCCCAACTGCCGCCACAGTTGACAGACCTGTCCATTAGGCTGTTACTGTAACAATGAGGTATGGATGGCAATCAGTCCCACCTGAATGTACTTAATTCATGGTATTTAAAACCTGCAATACTGATACTACAGCGTTTAGTCTTAGTGTGTTTTTCACTTCGTCTTGGCGTTTTTCCGTGAGCTTTCTCGTTTTTAGGCTTTTTTTTAACTTTTAGATCACCCTCTGGCTTATTTTTGTATTGCTCTGACTTTCAAACTTTGCATTCCTGCTAGATTTTCTGGTTTTTGGATTCTCCAAAACTTCTTCACCTTGATTTAGTTTTTTTTGATTCAGTTCTTACCTGATTTCTTCAACCTTGGATTGTGATTCTCTGCTTGTTCACTCAGCTTTCCAGCTCATTGCTTACCCTCCATTGGATTCTGTATTAATTTACAGAGCGCTGCACTTCTTTTAGGTACAGCACATTAGAATAATACAATTTCATTAAACATTAAAATAATAAAGCTTCAACAAGACAATAGTTAAGAGTGGAGAACATTTCTTACCACTTAGAAGTATAGATACTGAATTATGAACATATTTGGCTCACTGTCCCTGCACTTTATCTTCTTCACAGTTGAAAGCACTCCAGTTGGGATTCTCTCTAATTTAAAGGACAGGGTTCAAAATCTATGGAACCCTAAAAAGAATTCTGGTTAAAGTCATAACATAGCAGAACAAGTGAATGCATCTCGCTGTGTAATTACCACTACACAGGGATACAAATAAATAGAGGATCACCTACAGTTCTAATGTAGGTAGATTTTCTGGTTATATCAGCATTTCCAGTAATACTTCAATAAATCTAATCCATGATTAGGTTACGAAATGAGAGGAAGATGGTTTTCCTCTTTTTCAAGCATTCGCTCTGCAAATTTGGTTCCAGCATGTTTTGAATTTCCACCTGCATCCCTGGCTCTTCATGTTCCTGCTGTAGAGATTCAAGAAGACATCGTGCAGTTTGGTTTAGTTTTCAATAGTCAAGTAGAGAGTTACTTGACTCTGATGAACACATAGTTGTGTATCATCACAATAGCTGTGGCAGTGAGCATTTCTTTGTGTTTCCATGTAGAGAATGGAATGTTGTGCGAGTTGTCTAGCTGCTCAGTAGCTGCTCAAAACAATTTTAGGGATTCTTTCCTTCTCAGCTAAAACAATTACCTTAACTGCCGCAGGGGTACAAAAAAGATCAACCAAATTCCATGAGCAACATTTTAAAACAAGGGAAAAAAATGCTAAAACAAGTTATGAAAAGATGGTTATGTGATACAGCGAAAGACTGGCTTTATTACATTTTGGCGCAAACAACAAGCTGAATGGTGTATGCTTGATTCAAGATGGCTGCCTGTTTTAAAAAATGTGGCATAGCTTGTCTGAATAGGTAATTGGAACTCTGAGGAAGTCAGATTTCACATGAGGCTGTTGGATTAGGCTTTGTGTGGAATTAGCCATTCCTGTGAGCTAATAAAGGATCTTATAAGACAAGTTGGGCAGTGAAGGATCTACATCTTGGTTCTGGGCTGGAAGCAGTGAGAATGAGATGTTAAGACTCATTAGCACTGTATGAAAGTGAAAGCAATCACACTATGTAAGTACTTCACAAGAGAAGAAGAGTTGTCTCAAGACCCTAATTCAAATACTCCTCAAGTCCAAACAGAAGATGAGAGCTTTGAAAGGTAGAAGGTGGGAAAATCTTATCACAATCGATGATCCATTGGATTCCCTGTTCGAGGATATCTTCATTATGGTGGGTAGAACAAAAAGTCATCTTCAACAAATTTCTGTTAGTTGGAGTATCCCAGGTAACGCATATCTTTTTGTTTGGTCCCACTGGAAAGGGCTATCCATGATTGCAGTCCATCTGCACTATATGAATAAGGTCAGTGTTTCCTGGAATGACCCTGTCTCTGCCCCAGCTATGTCCAGGAGGGCTTACAACATACATTCAACCCATGGGGTTGACATATTGAGGATTGTTGAATTACCATTACCTTAGTGAGCTGTCATTCTGGCCTTGATGTAATGCATGACTTTTTTTAACAAGGAACCGCTATGGCCAGATAAACAGTAATACCACTTTTTATTTGAAAGGCTTTCAAGGCACATTTTGTCATCAGGAACTGGCCATGAAAATTTGCCACCTGGAGATACAATACTGTACTATAATAAGTTACCTAAATCATTGCAGGGGGCTTCTGACTTGCCGACTCTAGTTCCTGCTGTGCATGTAGACTTGCAGACTCTTATGTTATCATTTTGTGAGGCATTGCAATTCATTCTTTGTATCAGACATCTTTAAAATTCAAGTTTCATTCATATTTGTGAAATGTAGTGTTTAAAGTGAAAGCCAGCACGATGTAGGCTTTCAATGCCACCAAAGATGAGTTGTTAAAGCAATTATGATGAGGGAGTGATTTTACCCAGAAGTCAGCTTACAATGTTCCAGTCAAGCAGAATGTAGGGAGCCTAAAATGTAATTTCTTCAAGTAGTAATAGTGTGGAATTTTTAGCCTCACTGTCAATAGCCCGTCTTCTTAATCTATTTAATCTACTTAACATAATTTACATGTATAATGCAGCCTTATATGTGTACATTTTATTATGATCATAAGTATTCCCATTCTGGTCTCTGGGA